ACCCTGAGTCTTGACAATGTGGACATGGAAAGGATGTGAAAATAAAACAAAGAACTGCAGACGCTGGCGATCTGAAACAACAAAAAAAATATAGAAATTGCTGGTAAAACTCATCAGCATCTGTGGTGAAAAAGCAGACTTAACGTTTTTAGTCCAGTAACTCTTTATCATAAGTAGTAACAGCTAGGAAAAGTGGCATTTATGCTGAAAATGAGGTGGGGGGGTGGGGCCAGTGGTGTGGAGGTGAGCAGATAGATGGAGAAAAGGTGGATAGACTTGAGGATTTTTGATAGTAGGCCAGGATAGAAGAGAAGCTGAATAAGTGACAATGAGAACTGAGAGTAGGAGAGAATGGATAGGCGATGCTGAAAGCAACCCTCGTCAATTCAGGACCAGAGCGTAGGGGGAGGTAGAACAAAAGGAAGGACCAAATCAGGCTCTAAAATTATTGAGTTCTGTGTTGAGTCCTGGAGGCTGCAGGGTCCCCCAGCAGAAAATGGGATGCTGTTTTTCGAGCTTGTTCTTAGGCTTGCTGGAACACCACAGCAGGCCTGCAACAGAAATGCAGAAATGTTGGCGTGGAAACACAGTCGGGTGGTGAAGTGGCAGGCAACCGGAAGATCAGAAGAATGTTTTACGGACAGAACGTAGGTGTCCTGCAAGGCAGTCACCCAGTCTGCATTTTGTCTTCCCAATGTAGAGGGGGCCACATTGTGAACAGTGAATAGAATAGACTGAATGAAGCGCAGGTAAATAGCTGCTTCACTTGAATGATATGGCTGGGGCCTTGGGTGGAAAAGATGTTTCCTCTTGTGAGTCAGTCAAAACTGGGGTGTGAAGGGTGTAAGATAAGGGCTTGCCCTTAAAGCATGGAGCTGGGGAGAAATCTTTTCTGTCAGACGTTTGAGAGACTTTGTAACTCTCTGCCTCTGAAGGTGTTGAAAGACATTGAAATGTTTTGAAGGGATTCTTGTTAGGCAAGGGAATTAAAGTTTATCAGGGGTATATGGAAGTGTGGATTCAAAATACAAACAGCAAGCCCAAAGAGCCAAATGGTCTACTGTTCTGTTTCATATGTTTGTAAAATCATAGACTCAGATAATGCAGTACAGATGTGAGGAGCAGCAAGAGATGCTGCAGATACATTTGCAGGATCATAGAAGTTAAAGAGCAATTGGGAGTTTGTTTTTAAAATTGTAGAAGGATTTCGATCAGTCAAATTAGGGATGGCAATTGCCTCTGCTGGACACTCAGTGAGGTTTGGGGGGGTAGTGCTAAATGGTCAATGAGGTGAAAGGAGTAGGGGAGTTTCTTTGCATAGAGTTTCTGGAGAAGCCATTTTCGCTTTTTATTTAGGGGGAGAAACCAAGATAGTTGAAACAGGTCTACCGTGATCTCCAGCATTTACTGTTTACAATACAGATTTCAGCATCTGCAGTAATTTATTCCTACTATGATATATGTTTACCTTGCTGTGCCTTAAACATATGTGATTTTTGTGGAATTGGCAGAATGGATGTAATAGTTCTAAAGACAAACAGCAGTGTTTCTGGACAATTGGAAACTGGGGGATATCAAGGAGGTTGACTTGAGAGTAGTAAGATGTTGTCTTGTATTTCCTTTTACGATAACAGTTCCAAAGAACATGCACTTACAATTGATCTACAAGACTATAAGATATAGAAGCAGAATTTGGCATTCACAGCTGTCTGCAGCAGTGAATTCAACAGATTGAGCACCCTCCCCATCTCAGTTCTAAAGGGCTGTCCCTTCACTCTGAGGCTGTGCCATCAGGTGCTACTTTATCGTACTAGTGGAAACATCTTCTCTATGTCCACTCTATCCAGGCCTCTCAGCATTCTGTATGTTTCAATCAGATCGCTCCTCATCCTTCTAAATTCCAAGCGCAGATGCAGATCCTCAACGGCTTCTCATATGACAAGTCCTTCAGCTCCAAGATCATTCTTGTAAACATTTTCTGACTGCCGCCAATGCCAGCACATCCATCCTTAAATACAGGGCCCAAGATGCTCAGAATATTTAAAATGCAGTCTGATCAGTCTCGTACAACCTCAGCGATACATCTCTGCTCTTGTATTCTAGCCCTCTTGAAATGAATGCTAACATTGCATTTGCCTTCCTAACTGCTGACTAAAAATGTATGTTAATCTTAAGAGAATCCTGAACCCAGACTCCCAAAGCCTTACCAAAGTGCATAACCTCACACTTTACCAATTGTATTCCATCTGCCACTTCTTTGCCTACTCTCCTAGCCTCTCCAAGTCCTCCAACAGCCTCCCCACTTCCTCAACACGATCTGTCTCTCCACCTATCTTTCTGTCATTGGCAAACTTAGCAACTCTGTCCTTAGTTCCTTCATGCAGATTGTTAACGTATAACGTGAGTAGTTGTGGTCCCAACACGGATCCCTGCAAACGCCACTAGTCACCAGCTACCATCCTGAAAAAGATCCCTTGTATCCCCACTCTCTGCCTTCTGCCAGTCAGACAATCCTCAATTCATACCTGTACTTTGCATCCCACACCATGGGCTCTTATTTAGCAGCCTCCTGTGCAGCACCTTGTCAAAGGCCTTTTGGGAATACAAGTAGATCAAATCCATTGGCAATACTTTGTCTAACTTGCTTGTTACTTCCTCAAAAGAATTGTAACGAAGTTATCAGGCATGACCTCCTTTGACAAAGCTGTATTGACTCCACCTTATTTTTACCATGGACTCCCAAATACTCCATAATCTCATCTTTAATAACATACTCTAAAATCTTACCAATGACCGAGGTCAAAGCTAACCACTTGTATTTCCCATCTTCTGCCTCCCTTCCTAAACAGGGATGTTAAATTAACCATATTCCAGTCCTCTGGGATCCTCCCAAACTCCAGTGACTCCTGAAAGATCACCACCAATGCCTCCACAATCTCTTCAGCTATCTCCTTCACCACCCTGAGGTGTAGTCCATCTGGTCTGGATGATTTATCCACCTTCAGACCCTACAGGCTCCCCAGCACCTTGTTTGCTGATGGCTAATACACACATCTCAGCCCCCAACTCTCAAAGTTCTGGTCTGCTATTGGCGTCTTCGACCATGAAAGTTCATGTCAAGGACTTATTCAGTTCCTCCACCATTTCCCTGTTCCCCATTACCTCTCCAGCCTTATTTTCCAGCAGTTCAGTGTCCACTCTTGTCTTTCTCATTTTTTATATATCTAAAAAGACTCTTGTAATCATCTTTTATATTCCTGAACATTATTAGTCCATCAGAGTTCGTAGTTCAGTTCACACATCCACACTATAAACAACAGCTCCATGAGACTTCAAGCCAAGAAGCTTCAATTCACTGTTTAACAGGGAAGAAAAAAAAAGACAACTCATACCCTCAAAGTATTTTTAATTTATTACAGTCATGGTTCTACATTAAAGAAATTAGCTGTGAATTAATAGGAATTAAGGTTCAATTTCAGTTACTCTATGATCTGGCACATGTGACGACTCTCAAGAAGTGTAGCGAACAAGGTCCTTTCCATCACAAAGCTCAAAACAAAATACTGTTATAACAAAAGGCAAGTACCAACAATGTCAGCAGCTTTTTATAAGCAGACAGACTAGTTAGTTAGATACCTGGTCAGTCGTAGCAGATGATAACCTATAACAGAGCAAGTATACTAGGGATTAGATTGTCCAATTTTAATATGAAAACTTTTTTGGGGGAAAGCAACCTTCCTTAGTGCAAAAACTCACTGTTGATAATTTCAGACAGTCGTGGCTCCCAAGTTTATTCTTACATATGATAAACCAGCTGAGCTCAACTCAAGTCCTTCAGAAGTCACTTTCCAAGATGTTAGAATAAATTGGAAGAATAGAGGAGAGTTGATTTTCCTCATCCCTTTTTGCAGGTATGACAGTAACAGCTGCAAAATAAAATTACCTTTAAAGAAGGTGGACATGTGGGTTTACAGTCCCAAAACAAACCATCAACATGTTTTGTATTTCTGTGACAAAAAGTTAGCATGTACTTTTTCTTCCCCTAACTAACGGTTGCAATTGGGAGGTTGCGTACAGGCAAGTTAAATACTACAATATATGAAGCCTTTTATACTTTGTCAATTCTTTACATTCATGGAATATTCCAGCTGCAACCTTTCTCTGGGATTGGTTAATGTGATTTCTGGTGCATGAGGAGGTTAGCAGTGACTTCCAGAGATAACCAAAAGAAAGAAAAAGTCCCAGTTTACAAAATGTATTTCAAATATCCAGATGTCACTGATGTAAATCTAGTTGTTTTCAGGGCAAACAACTTGAGTTACTGCTCACGCCTCAAAGCTAAGGAACTATGGTGAGCATTTGGTTTGGGCTGAGAATCTCTATCCAGTATCCGTCTGGGTCCTGAATAAAAGCAAGCCCCTTCATTTTACCTGAAGCAAGACAAAATAAAAATGTGAAGCATTAGTATACATTACATTTATACCATTTACCTCTTCCCCCACCCACCCTGCCAAAGTTTTACCTGCATATCACCCCACAAGGCATCACTTATTAATCGTGAAATTTAAGCAGGGTACCCACTCACAATGAGCATTACAGCTCAACTAGATCTCGTCCTCACTCAATACATTTCAACAGAGGTCACAAGTTAATGAGGAACAGGAATGCTGCCTCATGTTGGTGCCACTCAGATGCTACATAATAGCATAATCACTTGAGGAAATAGTATTGAAACAAGTAATGGCACTAAAGGCTGACAAGTTTGTGGACCTATTGCCATATGTTTAGGATCTTAAAAGCAATGAATTTAGAGATATTGAACACACTTGTTGTAATCTTCCAAAATTTCCTGCTTTGTATAATCATCCTAATGGATTGGAAACCTGCAAATATCCCTTGTATTCATGAAAGGAGGGAGAAAGAAAGCAAGAAACTGGGACAGTTAGCCCAACATCTGTTATAGGGATAATGCGAGAATACATCAAGGAAGTAGTCGTGGCAGACACATGAAAAATCACAATACAATCAGGCAGAAACAACATTGTTTTGTGACAGGGAACCAATTTCGAGTTCTTTGAAAATGTAACCAGCAGAGTGGATAAAGAGTAACCAAAAGATGTAATGTATTTGGATTTCTAAAAGACATTCAGAAGGTGCCACAAGGTGGGGTGGCATGGTGGCTCAGTGGTTAGCACTGCTGCCTCACAGCATTGGGGACCCGGGTTCAGTTCCATCCTCGGGCAACTGTGTGGAGTTTGCACTTCTCCCAGTGTCTGTGGGTTTCCTTAGGGTCCCCCGGTTTTCTTCCACAGTCCAAAGATGTGCAGAATAAGTGGATTGGCCATTGTAAATTTCCCATAGTGTCCAGGGATGTGCAGGCAAGGCAGATTACAAATGTAGGGTTACATTCTGGTTCTGGGTGGGATGCTCTTCGGAGGGTTGATGTGGCCTGCTTCCACACTGTAGGGATTCTACGATAAAAGTTTAATACACAAGACAAGACATCATGATGTTATAAGTGATTTCAATTTGGATGCAGGATTGGCTCATAGTAATAGTCAGGATAAATGGGGCATTTTCAGGTTGGGAGCCTGACATTAATGGAGCGTCAGAGACAGGAATCAGTGCTGGCACCTCTGAATTTTAAAAAAAACAAGGGATTTGGGTTGTGCTTGCCAGCCATCATTTATTCCCCATCTCAGTTTCCCTTGACAAGTTGGTGGTCTATGCCTTAGGGAGGGGATTCTAGGATTTTGACCAGCATAAAGAATAACTTGTTAATTAGTAAAGTAGACTGAATGAGTATTAAATGAATACTTCACTTCTGTCTTCACTTTGGAGGAGGACGTTAGTAAGAATTTAGGAAGAAAAATGATGAGGTTCACGAGCAGTTTGAAATAAGGAGTGTGGTGACACTGGAGGTTTTGGTGGGTGTAGAGTTGTCAAATCACTAGGTCCAGATGAATTCTATCCCAGGCTGCGGGGGAGACAAGGGAGAAAATTACAGGGGCTCTTACCCAATTTTTTAAAATCCATTTGGGTCTCAATGGTGCCAGACTGGACAACAGCTGCATGTATGGAACGAGCTGCCAGAGGAAGTGGTGGAGGTACGTATAATTACAACACTTAAAAGGCATCTGGATGGGTATATGAATAGGAAGGATTAAGAGGGATATGGGCCAAATGCTGGCAAACAGGACTGGTTCAGATTGGGATGTCTGGTCAGTGCAGATGAATTGGACCAAAGAGTCTGTTTCTATACTGTATGACTCTGACTCTAAGAACAGTGGTCGAGATAAATCAGGGAATTAAACACCAGTGAATCTCTCATCAGTGGCAGAGAAAATATTGGGAGAAAAATTATGGAGAGAATTAATCCTCACTTGGAAAAGCAAGGTTTAATCAGGGATAGTTGACACGGCTTTGTCAAAGAGAGGTCATGCCAACCAAATGTAATTGAAATTTGCGGATGTGACAACATCTGTAAATGACAGTAGTTCAGTTGATGTAGTTTATGGATTCCAGCAAAGCCTTTGACGAGGTCCCAAATGGGAGACCGATAAAGAAGGTAAAAGCATTTTGAATCCAGGGTAACTTGACAAGTTGGATTCAAAAATCGGCTTAGTGACAGGCGACAAAGTGGTGGTTTGTTTGTGTGACTGGAGGCCAGTGTGCAGGGGGCACCATGGGGATCAGTACTGAGTCCCTTCCTGTTCATGATATGCATAAACAGTAAGAGGAGAATATACGGAGGAGGTGGAATGATACGCAAGTTTGCAACGACACAGAGATTGGCTGGGTGATTGACAGTGAAGGTGGTGGTCTTGGGTAACAGGAGGATTAGTCAGATGGGCAGATAAGTGGCAGATGGAAGTGGCAAGTGTGAGGTGAAGCTCTTTGGAAGAAGTAACAAGACAAGGAAGTACTCAATGAAGGGCATAACACTAGCAAACTCAGAGGAACAAAGGGATCTTGGGGTGCTGTTCCACAGATCTTTGAAGGCAGCAGAACACGTTAATAGGGTAGTTAACAAAGCATATGGAACACTTGCCTTTATTAATTGTGGCATACCTTATAAGAGCAGAGAGATTATGTTAGAGCTGTACAAAATTTTGGTGAGGCCACGGCTGAAGAACTGTGTGCAGTTCTGGTCACCAGAACATAGAAAGATAGTGATTGCACTAAAGGGGGTCCAAAGGAGATTCACCAGGATGTTGCCTAGGATGGAGCATCTCAGCGATGAAGAGAAGCTGGATAAGCTGTGGTTGTGTTCTTTATTCTGAAATATCTCCCTACATGTCTACCGTTGCTTCTCTATTGACACATCACCTATTCCCATTCACTTACTAGTTCAGCTCTCATGCCCAAGTTGCTTTTATTTTTAAATTCAATCATGGCATGAGAGCATCATTAGCTAGACCAGCATTTATTGCCCATCCCTAAATGCCCAGAGGGCAGAGAAGAATCATGACACTGCTCTGGTTCTGGAATCACATGTAGGCAAGATCAGATAAGGATGGCAGATTTCCTTCCCCAAAGGACATCAGTGAATCAGATGGATTTTTACATGCCATTACACCAGCATGTTTTTTTAAACCAGTTTTTTTTTTATTGAATCTGCCATGGTGGGATTTGAACGCATGTTCTCAGAACATTAGCCTGGGATTATTGGGATCACTAGTCCAGTGATATTACCGCTGTGCCACTATCTCCTCATCTTTAAACACTAGCCTTCAACCCAGGTCGTCTTCATTTGAAATTGCATGTAAAATTTAATCACATGGTCACTTATTTGTATCCTTATTCTGAGGTTATTAATTAATCCTGTCATGACATTTACCAATTCTAACTACTATCTGGTTGGTTACAGAATGTGTGGCTCAAAAAGAACCTGCTCAAAAGCATTCTATGAAAACAAAAGAAATCAAATGATTGTCAGGAATATACAAGAGGAAGATGTCCCTTGTGAAGATTTGCTGGATTACTCACCATCATCTGGCTTCTTTACAAATTTTACTCCAAGCTCCTCAAAACGTTTGCATGCAGCATAAACATCAGGGACAGCAATACCCAGGTGACCTGCAGGTAAGATTAGTCCAAGTAACATTGATGACACTGATCATTGGATTGTTTGAGTGTACATTTCCATAAGAACAGCACAGTTCTTGACACCAACAACCCATCTTGTCCTCAAGTTCATGTGCAGCATCTAACACATACTTTCATTAGAAACCAGTGTTAGCTACCTCCAAATATCTGGCTCACAGCAACTTGAATAAACTCAGGAGCAGCTCATCTGTGATGTGACGTGAAACAGGTATAATATTCATAGAATCATGGAATAGTTACAGCAGAGGAGGTGGCCATTTGATCTATCATGTGCCAACACTCTCCAAGAGAGACTGATTCCATGTAACCTTGCAAATTTTTCTTTAGATGCTTACCCAAATTCTTTAATATTCATTCCTAAACCTCTTTGTAGCACATTCTGCACTGGAGAAGCTGGAATCTGAAATCCACTGCAGTGCAGCAAAGATCTCCCTCTAATTCTTCAGCTATCACCTTCAATTGGTCTCCTGTTTCTCCAAATTTCTACTAATGGGAACAGTTCCTCTGTCTAGAGACCTAATGATTTTAAATACAATCAAATCTGTCAATCAGTGTCTTCTCCCAAGACGGCAACCCCAGTTTCTACCATCCATCCATTTAACTGGGTCACTCATTGTTGGAACCATTTCTGTAATGTTCTCTGCACCCTCTCCAAAGCCTTCAGATTATTTTTAAAGTGTGATACCAAGAATTAGACAATATTGTGACAGAGGTTGATCTAGAGTTTTATGAATGTACTTCATAATTTCCTTAGTTTTGTACTCCATACCTCTAATTATAATGCCCAGGATCCTTCAAATATTTGTACATTCCCTAGTCCGTTTCTGTTTCTAGAATCGTCCTTATATTTAATAATTCATTTTCACATTCTTCCTGTCAAAATGTATACTTTCACATTTTATTATTGTGTTAAAGATGTTAACCTCTCATGAATCCACCAATTCCTCCAGTCTGCCTCTGTCTTCTTGGAAGTCAATATCTATCTTTCACAGTTCACAATACAAAGTTCTGTGTCACCTGCAAACAATGAAATTGAAGATTGACGCAGAACACAGTGGAGGAAGGGAACAGATGTATCAAAATAAAGATAGAAATTATCCTGTAATTTCAAAGGTTTCTTCAACTCCTCATTTTCAATTGTTTATTACACTGCTCAGTTTTCCAAGTTAAATCAATCGCAGTTAAAATGACTCAATGGTGGCCAAGTATTCGTCTGAGTATTCTTTGTAAATCAGAGACGATTGGAGAAGTAGAAAGGAACAAATTATGCTGTCGCTGCTGATCACTGTCTAATATTAGTAGACAGAAACCACAGCAGTTAGCACAACGCTCCTCTCTCAAAAGGAATCTGATATCCTCCCCTTCCCTCCCCTAAAACATACACTGCTCACTGCTTGCTTTCCTTGCTTGGAGTATTGAGACCATTTAACACATTAAAACCACATTCTCCAGATGCTGTGAATCTGAAATAATAATGTTGGAGAAAGTCAGATCCAGTAGGATCTGTGTAGTGAGGAACATGGTCACATTTTGTCTCCAACATGACTCTTCAGAATTGAAAGATGTCGGAAATTTTTTTGTTTAATATACGTTTCAGAGGCTCCAGAGGTTCGAAGGGAAAAGATGGCATAGAGGCCCTGCGCTCAAGTAAATTAGAGCTGGAGTAGGCCATTCAGCCTCTCAAGTCTGTTCCACCATTCAATGACATTATGGCTGATCTGAGGCTTAACTCCATGCCTTTTGCTCATATCCCTGAAAACCTTTGCTCAACAAAAAATTATTTATCTCGTATGTAAAATTAACAACTGATGCAGCTTCTACTGCTGTTTGTAGAAGAGAGTTCCAAACATCTACAACCCTTTTTGTGTACAAGTGCTTTCTAATATCTCTCCTAAATGGTCTGTCCCTAATTTTCAGACTATGTCCCATTCTTCTGCAATCCCCAATCTGTGGAAATAGTTTATCTTTACCTATCCTGTCTTTTCCTGTTAATATCTTGGAGTCTTCAATCAGATCACCCCTCTATCCTTCTAAATTCTAAAGAACACAGGCCTAATTTGTATGATCTATCTTCATAACTTAACCCCTAAAGTCCAGGCATCATTCTTATAAACCTGTGTATTCTCTCCAAGGTCAATATATCCTTCCTAAAATGTGGTGCCCAGATTTGCTCACACTACTCCAAGTGGGATCTAACCAGGGTTTTGCATAACTGCACACAACTTCTGCATCCCTGTACTGCAGTTCTCTAGATATAAATACCAGTATTCTATCAGCTTTCTTGATTCTTTTCTGCACCTGGCTGTGACATTTTAAAGATTATGCACCTGAAACCACCTTTGGACATCCACTGTATTAAACATACATTTTGGGAAGTGCCCTAATCTATCCTTTTTCGGTCCAAAATGGATAACCTCATCGCTTTCTTACATTGAACTCCATCTGCCACACATTCCCCCGTTCAGTTAAGTCTATCAATATCCCTTTATAATTTAATGGTATCATCTGCACTGTCCACAATGCCACCTAACTTTGTGTCATCTCTACTCCCCTCCCCAAAAGCCTTATCTTGTTTATTTTGCTACCATTCTCCCCCTTGATTTAGAACCATTTCACATATTTTTCACCACCATAAACACCACTTCGCATTTGCACTGGGTCTCCACACCAGCTGTTCCCCTAGTCCCTCCTCCACCTCTGTACAAACATCTTTCAGTTCTGAAGAATCACCGCGCTGGACTTAAAACATTACCTCAGTTTATCCCTCCACAGATGCTAACAGACCTGCTGAGTTTCTCCCGCGTTCTTTGTGGTTTATAGATTCGTAGAATCTCACAGCATGGAAAACAGACCCTTTGGTCAAACTAATCCATGCTGACCATGTTCCCAAACCAAATTAGTTCCACTTGCCTGTGTTTGGCCCATATATCTCCAAACCTTTCCTATTCATATATTTATCCAAATGCCTTTGAAATGTTCTAACTATACCTGCATCCACCTCTTCCTTTGGCAGTTCATTCCACACATGAATCACTGTGCAAAAAGTTGCCCCTCATGTTTTTTACACCTTTTTTCTCTCACCTTAAAAACATGCCCCCACCTAGTCTTGAAATCCCCACCCTAGGGAAAAGACCCTTGCTATTCACCTTCTTTATGCCCCTCATGATTTTATAAACCTCCAAGAAGTCACCCGTCAACCTGCCACGATCCAGAAGAAAAAGTCCCAGCCTATCTTTATAACTCAAATCTTCCATTCCTGGCAACATCCTGGTAAATCTTTTCTGAACTCTCTCCAATTTAATGATATCCTTCCTATATTAGGGTGACCAGAACTGTACACAGTACTCTAGAGGAGGCCTCACCAACGTCTGGTACAACCCCAACGTGATGTCCCAACTCCTTTACTCAAAGGTCTGAGCAATAAAGGCAAGCATGCTAAACACTTTCTTAATCACCCTGTCCATATGTGACTCTAGTTGTCTCTGTTCTACAACATTACCCAGGGCCGTACCATTAATTGTACAAATCCTGCCCTTGTTTGTTTTACTAAAATGGAATACCTTGCATTTATCCAAATTAAACTCCATTCCTCAGCCCATTGACCCAATTGATCATGATCTCATTGTACTCTTAGATAACCTTCTTCACTGTCAACTAAACCACCAATTTTCATGTCATCTACAAACTTGCTAACCATGTCTTCTCTATTCTCATCCAAATTGTTTGTATAAAACGAGAAACAATGTGATATCCCTTTCCTACTTCTAAGTTCTATCCATATAGCTTCACTGAACAATCCTACAGAAATATCACAGCAATGTTTTACTTAATCAAAAACATCACTTCCCCTCTTCGCTTGCCTCCCTTTCTATCCTTCCTATAGTGTCTTAAGACCCAGAACATTGAGCTGCCAGTCCTGTCCTTCCCTCAGCCAAGTTTCTGTAATAGCTATGACGTCCCAGTCCCATCTTCCCATACATGCCCTGAGTTCATCAGCTTACCCGCAAGACAGCTTGCACTGAAATAAATGCAGTTTAGTTATTCAAAGTTACCTTGTTCTCTGACTTGCTCTTGTCTGCCTTTTCTAATTAACTTGCTCTTTTTTAATTCAAAGCCATCCTCGACTGCATTTCTATTTTCACTGCTATATAGGAACAACTAGTTTGAAGGCTCCTAAAATAGAACTAGCAAATTTCCATGCCACAATATTGGTCCCTTTCCAATACAGGTGAAATCCATTCCTTCTGAGCAGTTCTTTTCTGCCTCAGAAGAGATTCCAATGATCCAAGAATTGTCAGTCCTACCGAGAAATGTCATGTCACCAATGCAGGACCTTGTTGATCTGTTGAGTACAATTATTCTTTTGCTGACAGGCTCCTCACAAAAGTTTCAAACAATGGAAACAAAATAAAACTTACCAAAGCCTCTAGGATCAGAGTTCCCATTATGATAGGCTTGGTTCTCATCACTCTCAGTACCCCAGTTGCTGTAAGACATAAAGGGGGCTTTGAGGGCTTTTGATAACATTATTACTTTTTGCAAATATACAGCATTTCATTGTACCATCAAATCTCTCATGGCGCAACCATAACCAGCTGTGCAACCTTTTCCAGTGCCATGTCCCAGCCAGTGCACCCATTCCTTTCCCTGCTACTCCTCAGGTAGGTGCAGTGTTCAACCATTTGGATTCTCTCCTCTAGAATTCCTCCCCTAAAACTCTTAGCTTTGTTAATCTCTCTGCTTTTAAAAGACATACTAAAATCAAGTGTGCATTCGTTAACAACTTGTAACGTCCCTTGAACATACAAAACTACCCTAATGCATAGTGAAAGTTTTAATACAAAAAATAAATTGCTAAGTTGGTAATCAAAACCTTGGTCGGAGGTACATTTTAAGAAGCATCTGAAACGAGAGGGAATTTAGCTCTCATAAATCCTAACTTTTTTGCCAACACCCTCGGAGCCCTGTGCGGACACTGAAGAGAATTTCTGTAGTCTTTGTGGCGTTGGCTCTCCCCCAGTACTGTTATTTTTGGAATTTCAAGATATTATTAGAATAACAATAAAGGCCTGACTGCACTAGAGGAATTAGGGGAGTTACAGGTGCAAGAACAAGCCACAAGGGTAGTGGTAGCAATGGAAGAGGAGTCATAATCCTGAACAGAGGACATAGGAAGCAGCACTACGCCAGAATCGAAGCAGCAGAATGTGGGAGCAGGAACAGAAATCTCAAATGGGAGAAGCATGGCATAATCACCGAACCTATCATAATACAAAATCTGGAAGCATTGCAAACTTCAAAAGGGCAAGTTAATGGGATGGGTAAATAGGTGGCAGGCAAAGTTCAATGAGGCGATGCATTTTAGTAAGAAGAACATGGATAGACAATACAAAATAAGGGGTACATTACTTGAAGGGGTGCAGGAACAGGAGGAAATTAGTGTGTTATTCACTGAAGGTGGCAGGATGGATGGGGAGAACAGTTCATATTGCATGCAGCAGCCTGGGTTTTATAAATAGGGGCACAAGAGTACAACAGTAAGAAGGCAATGCTGAACTCATACAAAAAAACTTTTTAAACCTCAATTCAAATATTGTGTACAATTCTGAGTGCCGACTATGGAAAGAATGTGAAGCCATTGCAGAGTGTGTGGAGGAGGTTTATAAAAATGCTTACAGGGATCAGAATCTTCAGTTCTAAGGATAGATTGCAGAATTTGGGACTGTTCTACTTGGAGAGAAGGAGGCCAAGAGTTGGTCTGATAGAAGTTTTCAAAATCATGTGAAGTATGGATAGAGCAGATAAGGAGAAATTGATCCTTGTACAGGCAGGAACAAAAATGACAGGGCACAGATTTAAAGTGATTTGGAAACAAAGCAAGTGTGATGTGAGAAGAAACATTTCACATGAGTGGTTCGGGTCTGGATTGCACTGCCTGGAAGTGTGGTGGAGGCAGAGTCAATTGAGGCATTTGATGTTTCTATTTATATAATAAATGTGCAAGAGTATGGGGGGGGAGGCAGGAGAATGGCACCAACTCAATGCTCATTGGGAGACCTGATGCAGTAGAGATTGTCCAAGTGACTTCTGTCTGTGTTGTAACGATCCTGTGATCTATATCCGCCCGCAACTTCCTTATGTTGTTGTCACAACATACTTTCCTACCTGAGATAACAAGGTGTAGAGCTGG